CAATAAGTTAAATGATAATACAGATTAGGAAAATCTACAGATATAAATGAACGACACTTCTAAATACAGTAAAATATAAATGCATTTAGCATTTATTAAAGTATATTCCACTGCGGGTCCTAATTCCCCGCCCATAAAACCCGATAGCCGCCGTTTTCTTAGGAAAACATGTAGGTTTTATGTATTAATTAGTGGGGCTACATAAGCTACTGTTGCCCAAGTCAGCTTTTGACAGTGGCTTACAAATGCAATGTGAGAAGAGCATTAGAATGAGGTTGAATCTATTATTATGAGGGACAATAGTTTTTCTACCTTATTAAATATAGCATGCTTTGAGACCAATTCAATAAGAGTAAAAGTAAACTGGGTACTGATTTACGAATGTAAATTTACTGAACAGAATGACAAAATGAGAATCGTGGACAAGTATTAGGCTGGATATTTCGGACACGGTGACTTCTGTATATATATATGGAAATAAAATTGGTTTTTTTGTAGTCTGGTTTTGGGAGACTTTAAAGTCTTCATACATATGCGCTAAACACTGGTTTGTCTTCGCGTAGTAGGTCAATGTAGCATAAGCAGGTAAATTCAGAAAATGAATCCCGATTATATTTACGAACGTATGCGGATATTTGATATATCTATTTTTTTTTGCAGGCCACGGTCGACAAGGGCCTGGTCCTTTCGTTATTGAGATTGGAAAGCTGCCGAGTGAAAGTTTGGGAGCTGAATTAGTTTCCTTCGGCGACCCTGGCACAGGACGTCCTCGACTTCTTATCAGTCAGATTCGAGATGGAAGTATTGCCGATCGGTATGTTCCAGGCTATTTTAAATTGATTTGACCAATCAACAGGTTTTGTGTATACCTATAACTTTTTAGATGAAAAGAATTTTGTTTCCTGAAGTTAAATGATCTCACTACACTAATAAAATAGTTCAAAGACATAATTCATTTCTAAAGCATCTTTCTGCTGATGCAGTTTTGAAGACTGCGTGAGAAGCAAGGTTTATCAGATCCATTAATTTCGAGAAAGCTCATCAGCTGCTTCCTCTCGTTGCATAATGTGAATAACGTAAGATAAAAAGAAATTATATTCATACGGAAAAATCGATGAAAACAGCAAGGTCATAGAAAATGGTCAAGAGGCTAATCAATAACGTAAAAAAGTTAAAACACTGTGCCGTTGCACGCCACTTTAAACTGTGTTTATGAATTTACATATCCTTGAGGATGCAAGTGCATAGAGCGAGCGCAAAGGCAATTGGCAGCCAGAGCCAAGGACCACCTGCCTTCTTGGTTATTGAAACAAGAAAACAAAACTTCTCTCTCATCGATTACTGAAAATCTGCTAGATACAGGCCCATCTGTGGACCCCAAAACTTCTTTCCGAGTACCCGTTCGGGTGCGAACCTGGAGGCAGCCTGCATACTTTGGTTTAGACCCAACCTATCTAAAAAGCTGGAGTATGTGGTGAACCTAAATCTGCGGGGGTAATACCGGCTCTCGGTTTACACATTTCCCTTCCCAACTTTTTGCTTTAGACGTTTTTTCCCCAGTTTTTGCTGCCCACAGTGTTATAACTTTCTTACGTTATTAATTAGCCTCTTGGCCACTTCTTATGACCTTGCTGTTTGCATCTGTTTTTCTGTATGAGTAATATTTTATATTTTATTTTACGTATTTCACAATATGCAACGAGAGAAAGCAACTGATAAACACTTTCACAATTAATAGATCCAATATATTCTGCTGTTCACTCAATTTTCAACATAATTCATCATTGCTGTTGACGGTATTTTTGGAGTCTATGAAACATTATTGTAAGCATCTGCGATTTGCGGCTGAGGTAAGCAGATTATCTGGAAAAAACTCAAGTAAATGCGGAACAGTCTTTTTTATAGAAAAATAGGTGCTGGGTTGGAAGTCAGGGTATTTTACTCATTATAACACTCAATTTAAAAAACTTAATGGCGACTTATATGGGTTTTAATGTTGCGAAACCCCCCATCGGAAAAGTGCGAAGGCAGTTGACGAGTCTACGTTAGCTTTTGACACATTCTCATCGGGCCAGTACATTTCTATGGGAACGGGGGGTGAAAGTCCTCATTCCCATATAAAGGTACTCCCCGATGAGAATTTATCGAAAACTTACTTTTGCTTGGCTATTGCCCGTCTACATCATACGCGTGTTTGAATATGCCTCCCAGAAGGTTAACCATGTGTTCATGCAACTAACGTTCCGCAAAATGCAGTTAGTTAACTTCTAAATTGCCTATGAACAGGCCGGTTTTCTTATACGCAAAATTTGCTTTCTGTTAGCTTGCGAACAAAGTTAAAGTATCGAGCGACAGGCAGAACTTCCTTTTGGGGAAATATAGCAAACTTTAATGACATACATCCTTTTGATAGTGGCAGCTTGTTCGCCAAGAAGTTATCCGAAAACCTTACAAACGTAATAAAAAATACAGTTTTGCGAATGTTTCAGCTGAAACACACATGACGCATGAAGCTAGCGCAAAATTCCTCTTTTGAGAGCGGCACATAGGGCTGCAGGGCGAAAGGTTGGGTTTAGCTTTTGCAGGCCAAGCATCGCACAGGTTTAACAAAATGAAGGATGACTGTACTGGTGGTTTCTGGCCCAAACTTCACCCTCAACCAGTAATTACCATCCCAAATGTAGCCGCACACGAGGTTTAAAACCGGCTCCCACATGAGGTAGGTAATAAGTCAGCAAGTAACCAGCAGCCAATACCAAACTAGAATAAATTGAGAGCTCATACAGCCACCCAAAATGTGTGGAGAGGTTATGTTCCTCAGCCAACCTCTTGGTTCCACAGCGGATGTTCTATGCTGGGCTATGGAGGACGCAGTTCCTTGCTTGATAAGCTCCCAGTTTTTCATGCTTTGCGAGATATCACTCGGAATATGAGATGATTAGCCTAACGGTTAAAGTTAACAACTGCTTATCGCTACAAGGTTATGAAGGTTGCGAATGACGAGGAATGGTACGGCAAAGAGCATTCCCCATCTGTGGCAATATAAGGTACTCGCTGAAATATCGTCAGAGTCTACACTATGTATCCACCTCACTCCTCGAAGTTAGAGTTCCAATTCTTCTCTTTTTCTTTCTTTAGATGTGGAGCTCTACAGGTCGGAGATGTGATTGAAGCAATAAATGACATCTCTACCGATGAACTCGACGTTACTGAGGCTGTTCAGCTGTTGGATAGGGGAGGTTCAGCAACCATCAAAATACATCTCACGCCCTGTCCAGAAAATAATGAAATGATTGGTGAGCGAATAACTACACACGCTTTTCATGTAGTTTCAGTCTTCTCTTTTATTAAGTTTCTGAGTTAAAGCTGTGTCGGTTATTCCCCAAAATACAACCTTGCATAGCCTGCATCCTCCTTAGATCCCTATTCACGATAAAGCCGGTCGGGTGATCTTGAATAAGACGGTTTGCACCCATGCTTGCTGCTTGACGTCATTTAAACTTCATCCCCCCTGGATTTTGCCCTGCTCCAGCCAGTGAAAAAAGCTAATTCAGTAAAGAAGCGTAAACTTGCCCAGCTGGGGCACGTTCAGAAATAATCCACAAAAATGCAGTTGTACTTTTATTTAAAATGCGGTCGAAACCTTCATTGGCGATATACAGACGCGCATGAGGACAAAACAGATGCATTACTCTTCTACAAGATCCACATTAAATTTGGCTCTCTCGCTTTCTCTTTTGACTTATGCTGGTTATCTTGTGTTCTTTATTTAAGGCGCAATTTTTCTCACTCTGCGTTATTTTAACAGTGGGTTTAACAAGCACTCGACTAACAACGGAAATCAGATTTAAGGGCACTGACATCCTTAAACCCTGCTACCTTGTTATCGGTGAAAAAGTTCGCTCGCTAATGAAATAAAGGAGTGTTCGGATGAGCTTCGAGTGTAAAATGCCCAACAGACGAACAGTTTGGGTACTTTTCCGCATAAAACGTTCGTCGTACAGCACACATCCCACATACATAAGTATCATTAAATTATTACAACTACAGCGCCTCCTCTATAGGTGGTTACAATACTGATAATAAACACCTGTACGCGTCTGAAAGCTATGAGCAATAAAGAAACTCAATTGACCCAATTGTGATAACTTTGCGTCCACGGTGGGTTTCGAACCCACACAGCAGGAAAGCTTTTGCCCAGTCAACCCTCTACCATTGAGCTACGAGGCTCACAATGAGCCATTAAATTAATCACATTTGAATCGGTTTTATCTCGTAGCCCAATGGTTTACCGTTGGCTGCGCAAAAGCTTTCCCTCCTATGTGGGTTTGACTCTTACTGAGGCCGCAAAGATTTCACAATTGGGTCAACTGAATAAAAGAAAATCTGCCAATCCCCCTGCTAACAATTAAGTGAGCCTAGTAGTCATTCTGGTGGATTCTATATGATTGCTTAGGAGATCCTGCGTGGGCAGTCAGCTTTCTGTTCCGTACTGTGGATACCATACCAGCAGTGAGTTGGACGGGTAAAATCGGTTCAAGTTTGATTTAATTCACGGCTCATGGTGAGCCTCGTAGCTCAATGTTTGAGCGTTGGCTGCTCAACTGCCTTTCCTGCTGTGTGAAGTCGACTTCCACCGAGGCCGCGGACTTTTCACAATCGGGTCAACTGAATTAAGCAAATCTGCCAAACCCCCCTAACAATGAGGAAACTTTTCCGATGTTCGATCAGTCTCTTCCTTTACTAATAAACACACCTGGAACGTGAACTTTCACATTTGTTGGTCTTTACAGGACTATTGTGCCTTGCACTTATAGTAAAATTTATATAAAAACAATACAAGTCTAAACCTTGTATACTTCCTACTACTAGTCGCATTACTTGTGTCAATGTCATTCAGATTGAAGGTGATTTCGCCGCTGAAACAGGAAATGTAGTACCCTGGCGTTTCCGATTTTTGTGCACAGTTCAAGTAATTTCCTATTTTTTCTTCTTCTCGTAAAGTAATAATGGAGCCTAAATGTTCTGCCTTTCGATGCTCTTCTACGCGTAGGTATTCCTGCTCATGTGCTTATTTGCTGCAGTGGAAAAAACCTCCGGCTATCACCCTAGCAAAAAGATATTGCTTTTTGTCTAACCTTAGTCTAGACTGTTTTTATGCCGGTCTTGTTAGTTTAACTTTGTGTTGCTTTGGCAGCAGGATATTCTGCCGAAACTACTACCCAGGTGGTCGGAATGTAGCACCAACCACAGTTACGAAAAAAAATTCCTCAGAGTTTAAAAACTAGTGCTAATAGTGGCTGAGCGTAGCATACTGCAAGCCAAGAGCGGCGGCTTTTTTCTCCTAAAAGATCCAAACTGGTTATTTTTTTCTCTGTCTGCTCTTTTTCGCCTTTGCCCCATCTCACTGGCTTGTATAATTTGCTCTCGGCAATAAGCTGAGATACCATTTTTTGATATCACAACACGCGTGTACGCAAATAGGGAGTTCAAACACGCACAACTATATTCCCCTCAGATGAATGGAATTGAACTGAACCTTGGCTACAAAACCGCTCTCGATGAAAAAACAACTGTCCTCCATATGCTAGTTGGCAATTCTGTTATTGTAAACAGCAACAAAAAGGGCTGCCAAAGTAAAGAGTTTGTTTAATGTCAAAGAACATTACCTTAAATACCAATCTCTTTACCAGAAAGCTAGGCTAAAAGCCCAGACACGTGTTTTGTCGCTGCGTGATGCATCAACGAGAGGTACGGGTCCTCAATGGGGCCCCTAACCTTCTCTATTCGGTTGCTGGTATATAACGTCCAAAGAAAAATCGGGTAAATTATTCTGTAAATTATTAATGCATTACTCAGAGGTAAGCGACCAGAACATGACTTTTTAGGGTCAGAACCGAGATTTCTATGAATATTTTACTCAGAGACAATCGATTTTTGTAGAATAACCACACAAATGCTCATTCTACAAACGAGTAATACTACAAATAGTATGAATTCTATATCGCAAAGATATTGTACCGTACTTCCGCATATCTACTATCTAAAAGCCCAGATACTTGTTTCGCCGATGTTCCTGCTGTTCTAGTCACCCACCTCGAAGTCATGCACTTAATAGTTTACAGAATAATGTACCCGAGTACTATTTGGAAGCTATATACCAGCAACCGAATAGGAAATGTTGGAGGACCCACTGAGGAGCCCAACCCCTCGTTGCTCTATCACGCAGCAGCAGAAACATCGACGAAATACGTGTCTGGGCTTTTAGCTACTACCTATGCGGGAGTACGGAATATCACCTTCCCCATATAGACTTCATGCTAATTTTAGTACTATTCGTTTGTAGAATGAGTAGTTGCGTGGTTATTCCACCCATATTGATTGTCTTCGACTAAAATGTTCATGAAAATCTCGGTTCTGACCCCAAAAAGTCATGCTCTAGTCACCCAGGTCCGAGTCACGTACTTACTAATTTATGGAATAATTTACCCGAATATTAATATAAATAACATTTGATATAATATGATATATAATATTCATATAGTTTATAATAAATAATATCCTATACACAGCGAAAACCCTCGAGCGAAGGATAAGCCAACTGCACTATACTTAAGAACTTAAAAATGTGTAGGGCGGATCAGTCCCGTCAGTACTCAGATAATTGTTAGGTCTATCGTTTAAATTAAAAATGACCTTCCTCTGGTGTATCCATACTGCCAGATCAGTGAAAATCGCGCACAATGGTCGCTCTAGATGATATTCGCATTATAATTTTTCCTGGCATACTGTAGGATCAATAGCTCATTTAATATGTGTAAACTCACACCATATCCGGTCCATCGGAAATCGGTCGTTGACCAAGGTGCTTAAGTTTTAAGGAACGAGCTCCAGTTAAATGAAAAGCAGGAAGAAGCATTTCGGCAGTTGGGAACAACCATTTTCGAATCAAAAGGGGAAATGTAGAAACTGTGACGATTCGTGCCAACTGAGTAAAATTAATTTGTGAAGGTGCATTACGTATATCCAAGTAAGGCAATTGAATACAATAATAGCAATAAAACCGAATTTTAAAAATCCCTCTTAGATAATCGTTCTGGCAAATGTTTTCAATGAAATAATGCAGGATGCAATGTCGCCTCTAGTAAATTGTGCAATTTGATTGTGGCGTTACAAATGAAGTTACGGGCAGTTGATTCAACTTGCCCACGTTTGGATTGCTTGAGGTATAGTTAACTATGGTGAACGGATTTTTATTTGATTTCGTCGATGACGACTTCACAATAATTAGGTTACAAGATCACGTGCTGAGTGATCGGTCAGCAACGAAGAACGTGAAATCTTATTAGTAGCGACAAACACAGACAGACCAACAAGATCCTGGTTTCCGTCATACGAAGGTCTTCGTTCTGCTATCCGTAAATTCCAATGAGTTTTAGAGCCTCGATAAGTGAATACCACGAATAATGGCAATGTTAATGCAATGGTAAGTCCTCTTATTTGTATGTACCCAAAATATCGAAAGTTTTTACCCAGGCAGTGACGCCTCAAACTTTTTTTCTCTTGATGACGATTGTGTTTATATTTGTGCACACTTTCCCCGCAAACGGACCACACGGAGATACAAAGAATGCATCAGGGCATGGAATGCGTTATTTATAGTTTGTACCCGTAAAAATTGCCACACACATTAAGGGGGGGGCTGCGGTCTACTGTAGCGATAACCACCTGCGCCTGATCTCGCCTCCGGTCTTCAGAACTTCATCATGACACCGTTTGGCCCGTTTGGGAGGAAAGGAGAGATTGCCGTAGATGTTGTGTACCTCTACTATGACTATCAGCTATACCACGCGCAAACCACTGTCCTTACGCCCACCTTGCTTTGGGGAACACGTTGGACCGCGTGGGCAACGGCCGCTGGTGTATTATTTGTACACCCACACACCGCGAAGCATGGGACTTAATCTTCGGAGAACATGGCCACCCTCAAACGTGACTGGCACTCTTGATCAGCTGGAGACGCATTGCTAATAATTTAGTTCTTTAAAGGGTGTTGGCGGTGTAGTTGCCGATAACTGTGCACACTCCTCCCCTGTTTCCAAAACACATTTCGGATAGGGGTAATTTATTTCCGCCGCAAACCCAAAAAAGCTATGCTGTCTTTTTACTACGCTGCGCTGTTTTTGGTCACGATTAGCCTCCTATCTAAATGCAGTGCATGCGGCGATGTAACTGATAACTATTTGTCAACCAGGTAGTGCTTTACCCGTTCCGTATATATATATATTACGCAAGCGCATAAGGTCTGAAGAAAAAAGCGGGTTTGTATATGCGCAAAAGCCCAAATGGCCGCTTAATGGCTGGTCTACACACGATTACTTATGGAATTTTTGTGTATGCCTGATAACTACGGGCAACTTTAAAACGTTCGCCGGTTGACGCTTCTGCGTCTTTAAGAAGTAGAAAAGTACATGTAGTGACCAATATAAGTTTTTTAAAGAAGAATTAACTTGCTTTTTCTGAGAAAATAGATACTCTTCTCGTCTTTTCCAGTTCGATTTTCGCGGATCGAAAAAAAAAACAAACAAGTCTTTATTCGGCAAGGTTAGTTTTGAAGAATCCTGCCGATTTCACTTAATTTCTCGACTAATAGCGCATAATAATGTGAGCATGTGCCTGGGTGACAATGTTGATTTTCACTAAGAACTGAAGAATATTCTTTTATAAAATAATTTTAAACTGTGTTCAGCATGAACAAAGGACCTTTTCCATGACACTTGAAGCTAATCAGTAAAATGTACACTGTTTGCATTCCCCAAAAAGGATAATTATTAGTTTAGTCATCATATGTCTTAAATATATCATCCTTTCTATGTAGGTATAGGACCCATGTGGCTTTTGGCATAAAACGACGATAC